AACGATCCTAGTCGACAACGTCATCCTACGTCGCCGCCATTGCAAACGGTACTTGCGCAAGCACGAATTTTGCAATTTACTGCCTACGGATGCCGACCGATCTCTCGACTCGATCTCCTCGTGCATTCCTCCTCTCTGAGGCGCTTTAATGCTTGCGATCTTGCTGGAGAATGTTAAGGAGAAAAATAATAAGAACGTACAAAAATGGAAATATTTTTAAACGAGGTAACTGAGGCAGCCATCTTAGTCTTATCTTTAACATATCCGGTTATCATTGGCGTAGAATACTGCTTGCAGAAATTTTGAAAGGTATATTTCGAAAACTGTAGAATGTTCTTTTTAAGGTCATGCCTGGCGTGGGTCGTTAACGCTATTAGTGAAGCTAGAACATCAGACAAAAATGCTAGTAACCAGTGTCGATAATGTGAAAGTACATGGAAGATCGTATAAAATTTTTTAACGAAATTGATGGGAATTCAAATACCGGGAATAGGCATGTAATGGCTGGAATATTTAGGAACACGTGTAGGATGGCGGTGCTATTGTGGAAACGTTTTGAAACACGCATCACGCTGTTTTTCCCGTTACGGACGCGAGCTCTATCGACCGAATTCTTTCGTGATGATTGGCGCGGAACAATTAAACGTTCGCTGTACTTGTTTCGGTGCAACAGCAACGCTGTTCATCCTCTGTAAAACAAGAATTAGCAATTAACGAATATCATTGTTCGACATGCAACGTTCGCTTAATACCGGACAAAAGAGAACTGTTAGCAAAAGGACACAATACCAGCAATTTCGTTCCAAGGAAAACTATCAATATTCTTTTGTTAATTTTCTTGAAAGACAAAACAACTTTGCTTGTACTTATTTCTTTTACAACCACGTTTCAAACATTTTAATCGCAAAATTATTTATTCTTGTATCAATTAATAACGTTTTCATTTTGCAAAGTCTCAAGATTACAATATCGTGAATAATTTTCACTCAAGAATGGGTGCATAATTTACTGGCAAAAAAAGATAAGGTGCGCATGCGCAATTAAGAGTCATTTTCCCAGAGTCAATTAATTTTAACGATGTTTCCACATAACGAATAAAAAAATTCACCTTGCTGGGAGATCTATTCTCAGACCAGTGCATAAACGTTCCTTTATCCGTATGGCTGCATATCGTGACCACGAGATACAGCAAGCACGTGTAAATACGCATGCAAAAAAAAAAAACGCGTGTCACTCATCTGTGCTCGTGCCCTATGCACACATGTATGCGCATGCGCAACAGTAACGACGGTTAAATCCGTTGAACGAACCGCTATACAGCGAAAAGTGAACGGAGTCCAGCGATTCTGTTGCTCGATTGACATTACGATAGAAGAAACGTGTCACTTGAGAAAGACATTCTTCAGTGTCTTTTAATTAGAGATAAGCGAGATTTCTCCGGAATGTAACCGTATTTTCTATTGTAGGTCTGTATTTCAGGTCCCCGAGCACACCGACTGGATGTGACGGCTGGTTTTATTATTCGCATGTTTCTACTTTTAAACTGTTCTTACTGGAATGGTACGGCCATTGATTTAATGTATGCAAAAGCCCACCCGAATAATTTATCGTTGCACATACGAAAGTCAAGGATGAAATTTCAGACGTCGAAGAGCAGATTTGATAAGGTACAGATTATTTCACTGGACCACCAAGGTTAATACAGTATTTGAAGATTAATTTCTTAGAAGTAAGTAGTCTAGAAATATCTGTGAGAAACCTAGATACTTCGATTACACAATTGCAGATAAACAGCGTTCAGGAAACTCGCAGGAGGAAGAAACGTTTCGAGGAAGGTCGGAAGTTGACCGCGATAAGCTACGCGACGGTTACCAATGCCAGTAACGGTTGTTAGTTATAGGCGTCTTTTAGCGATGAAAGTAAAATGAAGACCGCGAATCAGGACACGAGTACGACAAAGAAGGTGTTGGTGACGCGTGAAGCTCATCTAACCGAGAATTATATCCAGGGACAATTGTGCACCGACGAGGAATACTTTTCCACGAACGCGATTGAGGTTAAGAACGTGGCACAAGTTTCACGCAATTAAACAACAATTACACTTCGATCGTTTCCGTTGGAGCACGTTGCACAAAGCGAAATCAACAAGTGGTCACAGTTGAACACGATTGTGCCAAAGTATGCAGCTACGTCGAATAATACACTATATGCCACACAAAGAGATCAGTGATGACTAAGAAGGTTCACCGAAGAATTTCAATTAACTCGTCATGATTTACATAATCAATGAAAATCGTAGCCGGTGCTATATTTCCGTATCGATTGTAATCTCGATCGTGAAACCTTATTTAAACCGGGTAGATGCCAGTGTAGGCTATACATACACGCGATTCGTTTGGTCGTTGGCCTATCGCCCAGACTTGGAATACATGTATACTCGCGACAGGGGGATAGGGACGAAAGAAACGCTCGAATCGAACCGAACGAAGAGAAGGATGGAACGACGAACCGGTGGAATGAAACAGTGTGTTTTATGAGACAGAATTTAGACTGGTTAGACTTTTTTATTTAAACGTTGTCAATGTGAGAGTCTCTGACGCTTTGAACTTTAGTTATGTCGGACGGGTTTGGTCAGGTATTCGAGATATAGGAATATTCTTGAGACACATAATTCAATATCCAAACATTAACCAGTCTGAATTTTCACCACATTTGAATTTTCAAATTGATATAATGATTCGAATATGTATTAGCCCGATTGTCTTCACTTGAATTTAATCAGGCTACCCGAGACATTCGGGTTTCCACTCGAGTTCCGACCTGTCTCGACCAGTGTGAATAATCAACGCATTTAATCATCCATATTATTGATAATATACTGTATATTATGGGTCCGTTAAGAGCACGGATAATTATTTGAATTTCAAGACTAAAATTGTTTGCAGTACGTTCTTAAACAAATGTATTCAATAATACCAGAGTCTGTGATGATCTCTTGGTGGATTGAAATGCGGTTGCCTTTTCGTTTACACTGCACACGCCAATCCATTATTCTCAACGGTGTTTGCTACAGCGAGCGCTTAAATCATTATCCAACACAGTCACGGCCATGAAGAAGCACGGGTTATTTCATTGGAGCAGTTGAGCATCCTATACATACATATATGTGTATATATACGGTAACATGCTCCTGTTTACCAACTTTCGCGATCAGTAACTTATTCGTATGACCCTGAGGAGACGAATAGAATCGACTCTTCCTTGTTGTAACATCAGGCACACGAAATTCGTTAGAAAGTCGATTCTCGAGTAGATGATTCTAATGTTCTGATAAAAAATGTACATAATTTTATATAGGGTGCTACATATTATCTATGTTCATTGATTATCAATTATAAAGATAAATGAATCATTATAGGGATTAACAGCTGCGATGTACAACTTTAATCTGTAAAGTTATAATTAATTTTATCCAATTGCAACGTAATATTTCATCTTAATCTAGAGCGTCCACTTAACGAGGGTTAAAAATATCAGTGGATACTACAATATTTCTTGTCGTTTAAGATTTGATCGTGAGGCGATTTTATTGAGAAATGTAGATAGATAAACGACGAGACACCGTGTACGAATCAAGAAGGGCGCCAAGGGAGGGGCCCTTCTTTGTGAGACGGGCTCTGACCTCAACGGATCGTCGGGCCCGAGGTAGGCGCCTCCGACTGTGAACGGCAAAAGCTGCTGCTGGTTCGCTTGTCTGTCTGGCCAGTTGCTTGGCCTCGTTGCCAAGCAACCGTAAAAGCGTCACCCCCTGAATCTCTAAAATTCCTTATACCAAGTTGTTCCAAGCAAGCTTTACCCGACGATCACGTTCCACACGTGAGAAAATCGTCGCGTTAAAAATATCACTCGAAAGACCAACGGTTTTTGATCCCCGCGTTTATATTTAGAATCCGCTGCTAATAATTCAAGCAACGAACGAAATTGACCGTTACGACAGAGACAAAGTTCATGATTTCTTCGCATTGGCATTTAATCAGCGACGAAAAAAAGGAACTCTGTTTGCGAGAAAAGGACCGATTACTTTTTTTCTTCGTAAGTCGGCTGATCAATGATCAGTGCAACCATGAACTTTCGCGCGAAGTCATCATATCGGGAGGAACGGTTAGTCATTAGAACGGCTCATCGAAACTATGCATCTTGTCTAGCGTCGCCACGTGCGCTAACATCGCGGCTAATTTCGAACTACGTCGATTTTATATTGCACTTAATTTCGTAAGTTTGACCCACGACACACATTGCGACACGTTGCAATTTGTGATCCGTTTGTTTAACGTATCGTTGCGCGCCAACCGATTATTACATATTAATGGTATATCGAACCATTATGTGTTTATTTTATGCAATTCGTAAAAAACACCCTCCTTTATTGAGAAGCACCAATTTATACTTACACATGTCAGGTGTATTTGAGTGCAACGTAGGCTTCTTTGAGATATGAGTAAAAATGGCGGGGGAAAAGTTTCTTATCGTTTACTTTCGATTTTAAGTACATAAGGCTATATAACTCGTGGCGATATAATGCGAGGTTACACAACACGTGATACAGCTCGAGACTTATAACGGGTGGCCATATAACGCGAGGTTACACAACACGTGGTAATATAGCACGAGATTTTATAACAAGTGGCAATATAATTATATACAAATATTTTGTTATATCGCCTTAAATTATTTTCATCATCCAACGACTTTTTACAACCCTCCGCGTTAAAAGGACGAGATTTAAAAAAAAGTTAGATGTAATGCTAGTACAGTTTTTGAGAAGCCTACGTTACATCTCAGTATTGCACATAAAATTGAGGGATAAATAAATAAAGAAAAATAAATTAGGCTAAATTTATAATCAATCATAATGCCGCCCCTATGGGGTGAAGAACTTCCCCACCCACACACAGCGGCTCTGGTGTGAAACAATTTCGAACAAAGCTCGACGAACTTACCCATGTGAGCGAGGTCGATGATCGGTATTTCGCATTTGCTCAAAAGAGTCTCACAGGTCTGGGTTACAATCGGAGCACTCGTGCAGCAGCTCATCTTGCTCGTGGCTAGTTACTCGGCGAAATGAGATTTCTATTGCTGTCTTTCTCCTTCTTCTTTCGGTCTCTTTCTTTCTTTGCTCTTCGGCAGCTCTCGCAATTTCGTATCTTGTCCCCGATCTTTCCGTTCCGTTCACTCGATCGATTCTTTTTTCGTGTGTCGGCTTCGAACTGTTCCTTGTTCCTTGTTTCGGTGCCCCGTTTACGATCGATCAAGTAGCACCAATAATATCGGGACGTGGCTCGACGGTGCGACGCGCGTGTATGTTACATTCACCACGTGCGAACTCACCCACCCAATACAGGCAATCGAGCGAACAATTTCACTAAAATATCCAAGAAAAAATCATGCTATCACTGCACCACGAATGGAGATTCTATCGATTGAGCTACAGCCTGATCGGTGATATACGAGAGAGCGAAGTTTGAGAAGCACGCGGCTGTTATTGTGAGAAAACGGTACGTTCAAACACTGCGGTTATGGCAACCCTAACGGTAGCCGTAGGAGACGAGTTTATTGTGGGGCTGGTGGTGCGGCAGGTAAACGTATACGTGATTCTGAACTGGTGGGCACATGCTACGATATCGACAGAGTGGCGGATAACCAAGTACTGAGAAAAAAAACACACCGTGAAACGCACCTAACTCACACGCGGACGCTCGTTAACTGAACCGACAAATACTCGCAAACCAACCAGACGCGCGCCTGTCGTCCCGAGCGATACCGAACAGCACCGGAAATGAACGAAGCCAGGTAGACAGAACCCGAAGCGTTCACGGAGTTTCACGAACTTTATCGAATGCGAGATTCAAGTCTTCCAGGCGTTAGCGCGCTCAAGCGAAGGAAAAACAAATCAACACGAATTTTTTATTTTTATTCGAATATTTCTATTTTTATTTACATCTTAACGTCGTAGAATACACATATATTTCAATAATTCTTTCCTATGCTATAAAATATCGTCTTCTTTAAATTCGTGGTATCTCGAATATTAAAATTTCAAATTGAAAAATCGTTTCGGGTATTCGAAGGATTACAAATTCGTTTCTAATTATAAATCGCGAGACCTTCCACCTGTTCGAAAGTCGCAAAAAAGGTATGTTGCTAACGTGTACGATTTCAGTTTCTTTTTCAGCAATTTCAAAATCAGGTCTTATACGTTTTAAATACCCCTTACAGAATTAATCGCTCCATTAAACGAAGGTTATACTGGGAATCTACGTGCCGTAACCTTACATGTCTGCGATAAACTATTTCGATAAAGGTAGTTGTAGATACGCGAAGGAGCTCGACTTACGTTTACCTATTCGAAAAGCCAGCACGTCTTGTACGGAGTTTTGAGTCGTACTGCACTCTGATGAACGATCTTCAATGACTAAAACGTAAGATTCGTTGATCCCCACCACCCACGTTATCTCGTGTCGTAGCGCATTTCTAATCATGACAATTACTACTTTCGCGTTATCGCAACCGCGTAATTTGCGTTTTCTTATTGCAAACTCGCATTGGCGTAACTATGATGTTCATTGAGGGTGGACCAGGTTCTTTATCACCAATAGTATTCTTACACTAGATATTTTGGGATCTGGGGATTTTTGGATCTAGGGAATTTTGGATTTGGGGAATTTTTGAACTGGGGATTTTTGGATTCGGTGAATTTTGGGATCTGGGAAATTTTGATCTAGGGATTTTTAGATCTGGAGAATTTAGGATTTGGGGAATTTTTGATCTGGGGATTTTTGGATTTGGAGAATTTTTGATCTGGGGATTTTTGGATTCGGGGAATTTTGGGATCTGGAAAATTTTGATCTAGGGATTTTTAGATCTGGGGATTTTCGGATCTAGGGAATTTTGGATTTGGGGAATTTTTGAACTAGGGATTTTTGGATTCGGTGAATTTTGGGATCTGGGAAATTTTGATCTAGGGATTTTTGGATCTGGAAAATTTAGGATTTGGAGAATTTTTGATCTGGGGATTTTTGGATTCGGGGAATTTTGGGATCTGGGAAATTTAGGATTTGGGGATTTTTGGATTCGGTTAATTTTGGAATCTGGAAAATTTTGATCTAGGGATTTTTGGATCTGGGGAATTTTAGCTATGAGGAATTTTGATATAGGGATTCTTGAATCTCAGGATTTTTTGATCTAGAGGCTTTTGCGTCTAGAGAGATGTGGATCTAGGGATTTGGGGATGTGGAAATTTGAAGATTGTAAAATTTAGAATTTAGGAATTTGGGGATCTGCAAATTTTGGGGTTTAGAAATTGTGACTCTTAAGAATCCGGGACATTTTGGGATGTAGAATTTCAAGATTTTCAATTATGTACCTTTCAAGAATTCCAATTGTGTACCTTGCAAATGTAAAAATGAAAAAATTTAGATACAGAAATTTGAAAGTAAAATTTAGAAATCCCTAACACAAGAACGTTCGATCATCAAGTTACGCCAATGCATATTCCTGCACCTCGCGTCATTTTATCACCGCAATTTATACGTCCAAGCACAAATTTAATCTCTTGATCGATTTTCCAGGAGCTACTATGACCATCCCTCACAGTATCGCACACGATACTGTTTCTCCGTATACACCTGTTTTCACACGGTTCCTTCCACGCTGCCTGCCAGCTGTTCCCCCAAAAAAACAATTTCTTATTCCATTCGATCCTCTTTGGTCCTAACGCTCCTTTTTCAGGAGTCGATAAATCGTTGCTTCCACGAAGCAAAAGCGATTCGTGAATCTATGTACTCGTTCCTTCAACGCGTCCCATCGAGCGTACGTTTCTTGAACACCGTGTGCTCCTCGTGGATGCTCGGTTTGATCCTGGCTGCATCGCGACGCGTGTTCCCGTGCACAGGTGAAGACTCCATCGGCGACGAGGAATAATAGGACTCGTACTTTGTGCTGGTTTTATTTTTAGCTCGAACGTATTTCATCGACCGTTTCATGTTTTTCCTGCGACGTTTATCGGGTCTCTTTGTCTTCTCCCCAGGCTCCCAGTTCGAGGGAGACGAGCTCGAACGTTTCTCCGTTTCAGAACTGAAATTAAAAGTAACTTGTATTATTCGAGTTGGTGAGGAAAAGCAAGAGTTGAAAATTTGGAAATTTAAAAATTTGGGATTTGAAAGTTTTCATCTAACTATATTAGTCATCGAAAGTCAGATTGCACCCATACCGTTCAAAACGTTGATTCGAAAATTATCTTATCCGTAGACGTTGCGCGACGTCTGAGCTACGTATAATGACGCGTTTCTTATCATTGGTGTTCTTTTTTATGAATCGAAATTACACGGTCAATTTACTATCTGTCTATTTTTATCCGGAACTTCGTTTTATGGAGTCGTACCTTGTTTCGTCCAACGACGTGGTGGATGATTCGTTGGCAAACATTTTGGGGAAGTGGTAGAAGCGACATGTTCCACATAGTAATTTTCGTATAATCTGCAAAAGAGTACATATTTACTGGAGGAATGAGGTGAAGAAATTGTGGGATTACAAGTTTCTCTGAATGATAAATTAATAGAGGTACTTATAGCTAAAATTTCTAGATGAGAAATATAATAACTTTCAATATTTCCTAGGTAGTCTCTTCCTCTTAGTCTTTCTAGGATCTCAGTCCTTAATACTTATACAGGGCGTCTCACAATTAATGTAGGTATCCGAAATGGTAGCTGACGTGATTCTGTACAACTTTTCCCTTAGCAAAAATTCGCTCCGAAGCTTCGTTTTTGAATTACTAAGGAAAAACACGGACCAATCAGAGCGCGAGACGCATGCGCAGGCGCGAGATAGCTCCGCCTACCGCCTGAGCGCGCGAAAACCTCGCGCTCTGGTTGGTCCCTGTTTTTCCTTAATAATTCAAAAACGAAGCTTCAGAGCGAATTTTTGTAAAGGGAAAAGTTGTTCAGAATCTCGAAACCTACCAATCTTAAGAGTTACACTAATTATGAGACACCCTGCAAATATTTTCAAGCTTATAAATCTACCATATCGTTTCAGGTATACCTTCGTGATCAGAAATCCCAGGAACACCTGTATAATCACCAAGGTGCTGGTCATGACGTACGCCACGATGACGATCCTAAGCAAAACAGGACTGACCACTTCAGCGCATCCGTTGGTATTAATGGTTTTAACATCGCCATCGATATCGTTGTGTTCGCAAGGAGCCATCGCTCTCAAACTGCAGCAGCTGAAAGGCACACCCCGATCCCTGTACTCCTCGTCGGATATCGGGCTTTGCGCCGCCATTTCTTCGCGGGATGCATAATCGACTCCCTGACGAACGAACAACGCATCATGACATCTTTACACGACGTATTCGTTGAAACGCTCTTGTACCGTAGAGTGAGTTACCCGTTTTGAATGGTGGATTCACCTGCCAGTCAAAGAGGAACCAATCTGCGTAGGAGGAATGACCGCAGCATTGAAAGATGAATTGTACCTCGTCGATGGCGTACTTGTAAGACGCTGCCCTCGCGTACAATCGCATCGAGCTGTTGAAAATGTCGATCAACGCCTCTTGACGAACGTTCATGTGATATCCTATCGACACCAAAGTGGTTGCGTTCATTATGGCGCAGACTGTGATCGCTATCAGCAGGCATTTCAGAGTTCGTTTCGTTTCCGCACAGCAACGTGGCACTTTTCGTCTGAAATTCACAAGATAATTTATCTAAACTCTACTTATAATAATTGAAAATAATAATATTAAATTATGTTCAAAATAATGTTAAAATCTTTTGCGAATTTTGAGTCAGTTAAAACTTTTGTAAGTAGCAAGTGTCGACAGAAAATAGCTCAGTCCCAAAAATGACATGTCTTGCCAAAGTCAAAACTTATACAGCAGTCAGTTAACTCTCATTATATTGCCACTGTACAGCAAAAAATTGTTGAAATTAACAAAGTATCAAATTAACCAAAAAATTGCAATAATATCTACGTATACTAATACAGTTCATCAGAGAGCATAGAACCCCACATGAAACTAACAATAAAAGAATACCGTACGTGAAAGTCTGTCCAAAGGCGGCAATATAACGAGAATCTACTGTACCAAAAGTCCTTGAAAGATCCGGTTATTTTTACGAAGGAAATAAGACAACGTCGACCGTAGAATTTGCAAAACATTATGAAATACTCACGCGCGTATGCTACGAACAGTTATCAACGCAGTCGGCAAGCCTAAGCTGACGTTTATCAGTGTAAATATGACGGGTCGTAAACCACCCGCGAATCGAATAATTTGCCATTCGGCGAATATTTCTAGAATCAGCATAAAAAAGCGTTTCGCTTCGAAGATGGCCAAAGTGACTGCTACACCATAACCGAATCTGACTTCCCATCCGCAATTACAGGGGACTCTTGTCTTTTTTCGATATACCACGTTACTCCTTTGGCAGCTCTCGTTGCTCGACATTCAATTTGATGGGAGTCCCTCCGATCACTGGATCCTTCTTGATTTATCTGAAAACCTCTGCAATTGTTGTTATAATTGTAAGTTAAAGTTGTATATGTGATGGAAGAGACTGTTCAAGATTTAGTAGCACATCAAGCTTTAAGTTAGGAGTCAGGTTTTTTTTTTAATTGAAATGTATGGATTTTTGGGGAGGTTGTATGTGGTAGGATTTGTGAGTTTTGTAGATTGTTTTGAGATCAGTGGTGTGACTAGGATTTTTGGAAGATGTATTACAACTGGGGGAGATAGAAATTTGAGAAGATAGAAAGTTGGGAAGGTAGAAGTTGGAGGAGATAGAAATTTAGGAAGGTAGAAATTTGGGGAGTGTAGAAATTTGGGGTGTGAGGAATTGGGGAGTGTAGAACCTTCGGGGTATATGAATTTGAGGTATTTAGATATTTGACAATTTGGAGATTCAAAATTTTAGTCCTGTGTACTTAAACCTACATAAGGCTAGATCCACCAAGCCTATACCTAGTTACATCAACACATGAGTCCACAAACTCTTCAATAGACGCCTGTATGAGAAATTGGGGAGTGTAGAAATTTGGGGAGTGTAGAAATTTGGGGTGTGAGGAATTGGGGAGTGTAGAACCTTCGGGGTATATGAATTTGAGGTATTTAGATATTTGACAATTTGGAGATTCAAAATTTTAGTCCTGTGTACTTAAACCTACATAAGGCTAGATCCACCAAGCCTATACCTAGTTACATCAACACATGAGGGGAGTGTAGAAATTTGGAGAGTGAGGAATTGGAGAGTGTAGAAATTTGGGGAGTGAGGAATTGGGGAGTAAGGAATTGGGGTGTGTAGAAATTTGGGGATATGTGGATTTGGGGTGTGAGGAATTGGGGAGTGTAGAACCTTCGGGGTATATGAATTTGAGGTATTTAGATATTTGACAATTTGGAGATTCAAAATTTTAGTCCTGTGTACTTAAACCTACATAAGGCTAGATCCACCAAGCCTATACCTAGTTACATCAACACATGAGTCCACAAACTCTTCAATAGACGCCTGTTCTGCCTATCACTCCGACAAACAACTAAAGCCCCAAATTACAGCCTACAAGATAACGTAATTCCCAAGAAATAAAATCATCGTATCGCTTCATCATTACGGTATAAAAGACAGTTTCGCAAAGTGTATTGTAATGCTTAACTATGTCAATTTAAGGAATTACAATGTGTCTTAAAATTGCGGGAGAACACGCAAGGTTATTATTCGACAAAGAATAATTTCGGCAGGAAGTTGTACACAAAGAGACGCAATTATTTTACGTTTAAAATTAAGTTTCATACAAAGATCGCATGGAATTTATTAACCGGAACTGTAACGATCATAAAAATGAGTTATGCAACTTGCTACATGTGTTCCATGTGTTTGTAGCCAGTATTGTTTCCAAGGTTAATTACTTGTGCGGCTAGCCTTCTGGTAACGTTTTCATTCAAATCGAAAATCCGATTAGCAGAGATCTTTTAATCAGATCTATTTGCCTTGCAAACGATCGGGAAGGATGTAGACAAGAGATGCTTAACTAAATGTGTATCGAAGCGTGTTAAGATCCGAATCGAATATTTTTGTAGATCACTGTTGGACACTCACCAGACGCCATTGTGTGTCAGAAAAGACAACATCCTTAAAATGTTTCACTTTTACGGATCTTCGTTAAAATTACAGAGAATGCACCATCGATGGGACATTGTCTTTGTTCTAAAACTAACTTCAGTTTTAAATCAGTGTCATCGTTCAGTCAATTAATTTATTAAAACGAACATAGGTACAGAAATAATCGTATTTACCATAGACATATATTTATGACGTATTTACTATAGACATAGATACACGTCTATGGTTTGTACATGATAAGTTACATTATTTACTTGGTATAAAAAATATATATAATTTAGGCGTAGTTTTAAATACTGCACTTTTACGGTTACTCATTACAGGTACTTGAAGCTAAATTGAACACATTTTAGACTTATTTTCTACTTGTAAGCTTTTACGTTTCATATAATAGAGGATAAAGAGGTATTAAACATACTTAACGATTGTAACTAAAGCTTGAAACATTGTGCACATTATATACTGTAGAATTGTAAGACTATACTGTATAATATAGATTATAAATATAAATAATGTATACCTTGGAAGATAAATAAACATAACAAATATGGAATGTCTTTTTAAGCATATTGACTGCAAGGACAGTATGCTAATACCTCTTTGATACACTGTACTTTTTAGTATAAGATGTACCCATTGTATCTAGGATTGTGAGGAACTAGCCTTGGATTGCTACATGTTGTAGGTTCCATTCAATGCATATTCTAGGAGCGGCTAGACCCACCCTAACCTTAGTTACCTAGTTACATCTTACTTCTTATATACTAGGTTATATCTTACTTCTTATATACTAGGTTATATCTTACTTCTTATGAATTAGGTTATATTTTACTTCTTATAACCTAGGTTACATCTTATTTGTTATAACCTAGATTACATCTTATTTGTTATAACCTAGATTACATCTTACTTCTTATAACCTAGGTTATATTTTACTTCTTATAACCTAGGTTACATCTTATTTCTTGTAACCTAGATTACATCTTACTTCTTATAACCTAGGTTACATCTTATTTTTCATAACCTAGGTTACATCTTATTTCCTATAACCTAGGTTACATCTTGCTCCTTAAAAACTAGCTTATCCCTTACTTCTTACAAACTACGTTACATCTTCTTACAAAAATATTAATACAGCACCTAACGCGTAACTTTTCCAATAAACTCTCAATAAAGCTCATCAAGCTTACCAATAACATCAAGCCTACTCTCAATTAACAGGATATTTAAAAATGTCAACATAAGAGTTCTTTATACCCAGCCTCCAAAACGCCAAAAACGGTAAATTCTCCGTCAGATACATAGCCAAACGCATCTGACCATTAAAGAACATCCTGAACAACGTCGACCACCAATATGTAGGTTGCAACAAGTATTTATGAACCATCAATTGAAGATTCAGTATGAATCTGCTGTACCACGACATGGTGGACGTATCTGAAAACATTGTTTCAATTCTTTATTCGAGTAGAGACGTTCTTATTATTTTAATGCCAAGATAACTCACTTATTTTTAACGAATGATTATTGTTCGTGGCGGCGGAGGATGCCAGAATAAATGTGAACGCGACGAAGGCTTTTGGTTCGATGAAAGGATTTATTGGCCATAGTGATTCGATCAGGAGGTGACTCATCTTGTCGAAATCCTTATTTTCACGAGCGAGCGCGGGAAGGAAGATGTCGTCCAGGAGTCTTCTGCAGAGGGCTCGCACCTCTTCGACGCTGCCGTTGCAGATGTTGTACCTGCAGAAATATAATCATTGGTATAATCACTGATTTTATGAGAAGTGATGGGTAGAGGCAGAGACAGATTAGGAGATACAAAGATATGAATAATGATAAGTTGAATATAGGAACTGAATGATATTCAAATGTGAAAATATTAAAGTTTATGGATACTTGAATCCATATGAAGGATATCTGAACCTAAGTCAATCTGAATTTAGAAATATTTAGTAAAATTTGAAAGGAGAAGCGATGCTTGAACCACGAACTTGTCTTCCATTCCCAGCATGCTGCCAACCACCCTCCAGAAATGAATCAGTCCCTCAAGTTCCTCGGTGCTGTTGTCCGTCCCAAGATAGTCTCCGCTCAAAATGGTGAAACCCATGAATCCGAACTGAGTCAACGCCATGTCCAGTTGCGAGATCCTCTGGAAGCCAGCTTCCGAGCTTCTCCGAAAAGCTACGCAATGTTTTTTACGTACGATCTTCAGGGAATCGAGAAACCTACCAAAAAGGAAAACATTGGCTTTACAGGCAGTCTTGTTACGCGCGAACACGTGCTTCACGATTGATTTATTCCATGAGCTGGATCGAATTGCTTCGACGAATCTATTTGCCTTCTTCATCCTTCATCTTCCTACGCTCGTTTATTTTCACTCGCCAAATCTTCACCTTCGAATGGTTAAACAAATTTCAATCTTACGCTCAATTATGTGCCGGAATATTTTCGGCGAGTGGCGTTTACACGATGTTAAAGTTGACGGACAAGTGTTTTGAGAAGTAAAATAAGAGTTACGAACATGTAATTATACTTGAGGTATAATTTTTATAGTGGAACGTCACCATTTTGTTCTAATCAAAATATTTTGTAGTCCATGTGAAATTAGGGGGGGTTTAAGTCACCATTTTACTGGTTTCGAATTTGTTAAGGAATAACACCTTCAAGTTTCTAAATTTGCAATTTTTATTTTTGCAAAAATAGCCTTCATTTGCGAATTTTTTCCTCAGAAACTACTCCACAGATTTAGCTAAATTCTTTTTTGTTTTATTCATGAAGGATTGTGCTATTTTAAAATATTTTTTGTAGCTTTGTCATCTGTTTTATAATAACGAAAAATTTCAAGGAAAACCAGTCAGAAGGAGAACACTAGTTATGACACACCCTGTATTAATTTATAAACAGGCTTCACTTACGAATTTTTTTCTCAGAAGCTACTTAACCGATTTAGCTAAATTCTCCTTTGTTTTATTCATGAAAGATTGTGCTATTTTAAAATATTTTTTGTAGCTCTGTCATCTGTTTTATAATAACGAAAAATTTCAAGGAAAACCAGTCAGAAGGAGAACACTAGTTGTGACACACCCTGTATTAATTTATAAACAGGTTTCACTTACGAATTTTTTTCTCAGAAACTACTTAACCGATTTAGCTAAATTCTTTTTTGTTTTATTCACAAAAGATTGAGCTATTTAAAAATATTTTTGTTAAGACCCCACTAAAGCACCCCTAGATACACATCAAGCTTGAACGAATAAAGTAAATAAAAGTGATACGTTTACAAAACTCTCAACGAAGAGTTTAACAGAAGACACGGAAGATCAATGAAAGACGATGAAAGATCAATCGAACTCATATATTTGGAGCGTCGATGTTTCGGATTTTCCCAGACTGAAGATTATTCCGTCTGCACGTCAACCAGGGAATATATTCGGCAAGATGAATCGATTAAAATACCGGAGCTGCACGAGCCTGATTCCTCGAATGCCAATGAACGGTCACGACTTCGATCCTCTTCTACGGTATATTTTTGTCGCGCAGGATATTCGTTGTTCATTTCGCTTTCAACGTGTCTTCTTCTGCGCATCTTACTATCATAACGATATATGACATAATTTAGAGTAACCTACATAACATCGAAAGAGTTATGCAAATACGAAAGATCCTAAGGAAAAAGCACAACCGGTTATAATTTTATTCTTAAAAGAATTTATATCTATTTTAAACAAGTTATTACCTCAATCAGTTGACAAATCTTGTAAAGAATTTTGTTTTTAAGGCAATTAATATTTTATTGATTCTCGAAAGCATTGGTTGAACTGATGCATCATTTTCTTTAGAAATTTTGTGTTCATTCGATGAATATTTTAAATGATATTTGTTCATATAATATTTATATATATTATTTTTAATTCAATTCGTATTTTATTGAATCTCGAAAGCATTGGTTGAACTGATGCATCATTTTCTTTCAAAATTTTGTGTTCATTTGATGAATAGTTTAGATGATATTTATTCAGATAATATTTATATATATGACTTTTATTTCAATTCGTATTTTATTGAATCTCGAAAGCATTGGTTGAACTGATGCATCATTTTCTTTCAAAATTTTGTGTTCATTCAATGAATATTTTAAATGATATTTATTCAGATATTTTTTGAAGATATTTATTTAGCTGTTATTTATTTTGAAGATATTTTATTAGGTGCTATTTATATATATATTTATTTATTTTCGTATTTAGATAATTTTTTAAGACATCTAACAAAGTGCAAAATAATTTGCACAGAACTTACTCTTGTTCAACTCCAGCTTTTCTTCCGTACCACGTCCAAGTGTGTAAAATGGTGGAAACGTATCTACGGAACGCAGCGCACGTTGTGCTACTTTGTCTGGTGAACATCAGCACGTCCTTGATCGACGGTATAGAGAATAAAACTATCAGTCCGCATAATTTAGCGATCATCATGGTGAAAGCGTTGTTATAAAACATCCTCTGGCCAAGTTCGAACTTCTTTTCATCGAAAAAAGACGGCAGGTTCGGTTGCAGCCATTGGAAGTCCATAAGGGTGTTCGCTCCATCTTTCAGGAGCGTTTGTATCCTCTTCTCTGCAACATCTGACACAAAAATAATGTATCTTTATATTAAAAACAGATAATTAATGTTTCTCAACGAAGTAAATTCTATAAAATCACCGTATCAAAATGTACGTCTATCTCGAAAATAAAAAGAATTTATTTTCCCAAATCTCAGACTTCGAAACACATCAGTTCTAAATACTAACTCTTGAACTATGAATTCTGAACTTTAAAATCTCACATGTTTCGTGAATCCCCGAAAAAACTTTATCAAAAATCCGCGACCTTTAGTTTCGCAGCCACACGTGGTCATTCGTGTCACGAGAACTGTAGATATATTCAGATAAGGAATTAAATTGTTCGCGGCAACTGGATCAATGTTTTACATCGATCACAATGGTTCGGGGGGTTTGTAAAACATGTCCATACGTGTGGGTGATCCCGCGATTCGATAGGACAGAGTTCATTTGGTATTCAGAGCCATCGAAAGTGGATACATCTGTGCAATGTACGCGATCGGAATAAGAAAATGATCGGACACCCATAACGAGACGTAATCGAACCGAATGTGGTTGCACGCATTACACATGCTGTACACTTGATCAAAAATAGATTAAACGCTTCTTCCACGTAGCCATTGTTCGCAAAGTAACTATTAAAAGAGATTACGAAACATCGAGGCAATCATCGGGTTTGTGCTTACCAACTTTTCTTTCATGAATGAACTCGCGACGTGTGCGTACCGTTTATAAATTAAAATTCGATTAATTCGTCATCGCATTCGAACGTTCATATTTTTATGTACGATTCAACTAAAGTACCGTTCGGGATTATCTCAAATATTTCGAAATAGTTTATCTACCACGTGTGTACAGTGGAAAGTTAGATCACCGGGATTATGTCATCGATGTTGCGTAAAAATTGCTTTCACCGAGCTACATTTCCATGCCTTCCTTTTATTGATCGCTGTTCTATTTCGTATATTAACGCCGTCGCTCAATTGCAATAATTGAAGTTCTCCGCTATTTGCACGAAACTGCACACGTGTTGCATTCGAAGCCAGCTTAAGAAAGTAAGCCGAGGTCGTCGGTTTCTATTCACACTTTCATTAAACACTGCATGCTTAGAACCTGTGTGCAATACCTTGAACAAAAAAATACCAGCAGAGATAACGCTTCTGCTAACTATGCAAATAACTTAACGATTCAATGTACAAGTGAAACGTGGTTCAACTACGCACGTGCAAATAAGATACAAAATCTTATTTCGTTACAAGTAGGTCAGCTTTTTACTATTCTGATCTAGATATATTGCATCAAATCAAAAACGGTGATCTAGTTATATCTAAGGACATCAGAGGCGCAGAGATATCGGCGATTTAGACATTTCAGAGGTGTAAGGATTTCGGCTATCTAGGGATATTGACGATCTAGGGATTTTTTCGATCTAGTGATTTTTATTGCCTAGGGATTTTTGTGATCTAGTGATTCTTATTGTTTAGGGATTTTGCTGTTTAGGAATTTTTGTGATCTAGTGATTTTGTTGTCTAGGGATTTTCGCGTTCTAGTGCTTTTGCTGTCTAGGGATTTTTGCGATCTAGTGTTTTTTCTGTCTAGGGATTTTTCGGTCTAGTGATTTTTGCGATCTAGTGATTTTTGTCGTCTAGGGATTTTGTGATCTAGTGCTTTTGTTGTCGAGGGATTTTGTGTTCTAGTGATTTTTTGCGATCTAGTGATTTTTGTTGTCTAGGGATTTTTGCGATATAGCGATTTTTGTCGTCTAGGGATTTTGTGATCTAGTGCTTTTGTTATCGAGAGATTTTGTGTTCTAGTGATTTTTGTTGTCTAGGGATATTGTGATCTAATGATTTGTTGTCTGGGGATTTTGTAGTTTAGGGATTTCGGTGATCTAGGAATATCAGCGACGAATATCAGTTCTGCAGTCTAGGGATATAGGAACTTATGGGTATGAAGATATAGATATGTAGTGTCTAGGGATATTTGGATCCGTAGGTACAGAAGTGTAGGGATATTTCGATCGAAGAATAAATATTGGTTACCAGGACTCTAGGGATCCTGGTATCTAGGAATCTTTTATATTTTACTGTACAGGACATATGCTCGTTTTCATATTCCACATACAGATATTCATTGTTTAATTTGTAAAATATTATAATTTTAATTTATAACTTCGCATCTTCTTTATTCAAGGATGTGTTCCAAAAATAAGAGAAATCACCGTTCCGAATGAGAGGAAAGAAATTTCCATTTAAACCTCGTAAACTTTGTTAATTTCTTGGCACACAGTCAAAGAATCGAAGTATAAAACAAGATATATTTCCTACGCGCTTCACGAGCAACATTTATCGGTGGAAAATTGTTTAAAATTGACGAGCTTTACGTAAGAGTATAAATAAGGAGGATCGAGAAATATCAGATACCAACATACAATCATTCGTTAATACAAATATCCTGTACAAGACGGATACTTATGTTATGTAACTTAATGAACCGTCATTTGTTCGAACAAAATTTTACATCAAATAATATATTTGCATTTGTACTGACTCACAAAATTACCTGTTTTAGGTGTGCTTAGTCCGTGAAGCATTCGTGACAGCATGTAATATTAGGTCAAAGTATTTTTACGAATAAAGTGGTTTGGAATATTGAATACTATCAAGTATATATTGTTGATAGTAAACTATCAACAATAGTTTAATATTTAACATTTTATTCATTCGATATTAAATATCAAATATTGTAATATTCTAATACTTCAATATACCATAATTCTAATACTTCGATCATTTAATTTCCATCTCCCTGTATCGATACCTTACATATTTGAATATGGTAAAGTAATTAATGAAATCCTGAATAAATGAAAATAGGATGCTGCTGACACCTTTCAAGAATATCGGAACATCCACAATACTAAAACAGTTAAACTCATTCTCTTTACAAAGAAGTATTTCTCTGAAATACCGCCGCACCGTCATCGGCGAGGTACATCGACTCTTCCCGCAGCTACCCACTTCGAATTGCAACAAAGCCAAAATAACTCGGCAAACGCGTCTAAAACCTGTACACGCAAAACGAGCCTCGGCATATTGAGGAAAAAGTGCATTACCGGTGCGATGAACTTTCTAAAAACGACACTGACCTGCCAGATCCGTTTGTTTCTCGTCCTCGATCCTGTTCATAGTTGCGTGGCACGCTCATAGAACCAACTCTTCTACTGATCTGTCATTGAGTGCACTGTACAGTGTAGCAACCGCGATAGAAACCACTACACCCTCGATCTCGTATCCGACACGGTTCAGCAAAACTGATTTATCACTGGACCACGATTATTTCGTAATTAAGTTACACGATTGATAACCGTCCTCCTCGATCCTTCTAGTGGCGTGTAACACTATGGAATGAAACAAGCAAGTTTCTACGGGACATCTTTGGAGAAAGGTAAGTCTCCTACCTTTCGCTCGCTCCTTCCTTCTCCTGCTCCTGCAACGTACAGTGCACGTAGAGCAATAGCGTGCCATGATATTGAAACCTGGCAATCATATTCCAACCTAAAATTAAAGGTTTACGGGAATCTGTGTCGTAAACAATGTGCATAATAGATTGGAGGAGTACTTGAAGTTTTTATCCTTGTAGGTTATTTTTTAGACGTAGGGAATTTTTAGGTTCAGTGATGTTGGTCGATATATGTTGTGGGTGATATTTTATTTAATTTGTGTTGTTAGAATTATGGGTAAATAATTATGCGTTGTGTTATCATTGTATTATATTGTGGGTTGTATGACCACATGTTGTATGGCCACGTGTTGTATCGCCACGTGTTGTTACCACGTGTTGTATTCAACATGCTACATTATGCATTGTACGTGCACACTGACGTCAGAATTTTCGGGGAGCACCTTCTAAGTTTTATTAATAATACCATTGAAGGATTTGGAAACTTTGAAATTTGGAAATATGAAAATTTTCAGAAAGTGAAAAAAATATGTCAAATGCAGTGTTCGTCGCGTTACGTACGAACAGAAAGGGAAAGTGTTCACTATTACTTTCATGTTCCTTCTATCGTTATAGTGATACGTGTGTACAATGAACTTGTCGTTATGCTGCTGGTACACCGGTGAAAGTAGCCATATTTTCGACATCGTTGTTCGTGTTGCACGTTAGTTAACTCAACACAGGTCGCATGCACTTCCCAACGAATGAGATCCTGGATCTTTATTCGCAGAAACGATGTTAAACAATGTTAGACATTTTATTAATAATGGTAGGCTTCTTTATGAATCGTATACTTTAATATCGTACTCGTAATACTATTTTATACAAATTTTATTAAAACGGTATAATGCACAAAGATGGTACTAATACATTTCGAATAGGTATCTTGTGTTTAGTTAAGGATTCACGATTTATGTTAACACACTGAAGTGCTAATCGGAAAGTAAAGACGAAGAACAAGGATGCAAATTTAATTAAGTGGTACAAAAGGATCACGTAATTTTTAAATTGAAAAGAAAATATGAATATCTGATCTTTTTTCTATTTTTCTTTAAAAGCTAAGCAAAAAACGTCGTCCACTTCTGTACTCGCTAAATGCACCATTCAGTTACAGAGATCGAACATTAACCGCGCCATTTAAAATGCTTAGCCATCTAACGGTGAAAGGTCGAACTAATGGAACTAAATTTTGGAAATGTCATTTTCTATAGTATCGATGAGACACAGCATAGTGTGCGAACTGTTCTGAACTCATAATCCATATTTTCGGACCGACAGAATATGTTGCAAGCAGCATAAAGTCAATATTAATGAATATATAATAAATACATAGCATATTAATCAATAAAATCAATATAAATTCAATTTAAAAAAAAAAGTCGAACAAGTGGCGCCATCTCTCCGGCGAACAGGGTGAACTACACGTATTTGAAACAGCAGCTTCATTAGTTCCTATTTTCACCACTAGATGTCCACGGAGTTTGAGATTCTCGCTCGAAAGTTGAATGCGAGCCATCTAGCGTTGAAGATAGGAACTAATGAAAGTACAGTTTCAAATACGTGTAGTTCACCCTGTTCGCCGGAGAGATGGCGCTATTTGTTCCATTTTTGAAAAATGTTATTTTTTATTTAGGCATTCCCGCCATTTATCGCTAGATGACGCTGGCCGCAAAAAGGTTATGTTGGCCACTGATGTAAATATATCGTGCTTAAATCATTAATTGTTTCTATAGTTTTACATTCATGTAATTAAAAACATTCAAACGAATATGTTTATAAAAAATCTGTTTAAGTATCAGTCGCGTAAAGTATGTCATCGATTTGTACATGCTGAAACGAAAAAAAAAGTTGCACCACAGTGGTTAAAACCTATTGGATATGAAACGAATATTACAATATATAATCCAGTAGCTAAATGTAAGGTACCATTAATCTTGAAAAATAAAAATTTTCTTTCTTGGTACGTTTGTGGTCCAACAGTATATGATTCTGCACATATTGGACATGCAATGTAAGACTCAAATTTAATTCAAATTACATGGAAAAGTAGCTGTTGAATAATCAAAATGTTTTTTCTAGGACTTATATGAATTTGGATATTATTAGAAGAATTTTAACAGATCATTTTAATCTAAACGTAATAATGGTAATGTGTATAACTGATATAGATGATAAAATAATAGCAAGTTCAAAGAGAAAACAGCTGAACTTCAAGGATTTAGCAAAACATTATGAAGATGAATTTATTGAAGACTTGAAAACGTTGAATGTTATCAAACCTAACTTATATTGCAGAGTCACTGATTATATACCTGAAATTATCCAATTTGTTAATGGTATTGTAAACAAAGGCTATGGCTACATTGCCACAGATGGTAAAAACAGTTGATAATTGCAATGATAACTGCATTATTATTACAGCATTTATATCAAGTAATTTTGGCTCCTGTAGGGTCTGTGTATTTTGATACAAGCAAATATGACATGTATGGAAAGCTTGGAATTCCATTACCAGATAGTGCTCATCCTGATAAAAAGTCAGCATTAGATTTCTGTTTATGGAAAGCATCAAAAGAAGGTGAACCATTTTGGGAATCTCCATGGGGTAAGGGAAGGCCAGGATGGCACATAGAATGTAGCACAATAGCAAGGTAATATCATTTACCAAAAAGCAGAATGTATTTTCTTATGAAAATAAAAATAAGTTAAATCTGTTTATATAATATAAGTACATATAAGCTTATGTTTAAATTAGCACAGTTTTTGGAAATTGTGTGGACATCCATAGTGGTGGAATAGACCTTGCTTTTCCACATCATGAAAATGAAGAAGCACAATCATGTTCTTATCATGAAGTGCAACAGTGGGTGAACTACTGGTTACACTGTGGGCACTTGTCCTTAGAAGATACAAAAATGTCAAAAAGTTTGAATAACACAATTAGTATAAGAGAATTTCTAACAAAGTATACAGCAAATCACTTGAGGATACTTTGCTTGCTTTCTAATTATAAAAATGGTACATTATTTCTAATGAATTATTTGTGGAATACTGATTTTTTTGAGCATTTATTTATTATGTTTTGTAGGTCTTAAGTTTTCGGATCTTGTGTTGAAGAACGCGGTATCCATACTACATAAAATTGAACATTTTCTTAATGACTGTGATAATTACATTAATGGAAGATGGAATATTGGCAATGTAGATGAAGTTACATTGTTAAACGTTAGTTCTTCGCTATATTTTATTATATGCATGTGTATGAACATGTTTAAATATGGAATCAATATTATATTTCAGTGCTTGGACGAAACGAAAAGTAGCGTTGAACCCGCGTTAGCAGACGATTTTAATACTCCAAAGGCTATGAAATCACTCTTGAACTTAATTGATTTGGGCAATAAAATGTTGCATGATCCTAAAGTAAATATAATTTGGTATTAATGTTAATGTATTACGAATAACAGTTGTAGTGGTAATATTATTTCATTAAACATAGGACAATAACAAGAGAAGTGTGTCGGCTGTAGCTGCAGTATCAAATTATATATCGACGATGTTCGCAACATTTGGCATTTTACATTCCTCGGCAACAGATGATCATAGATTGAATAATGTTGTTGAATGCTTTGTAAAATTCCGGAGCACTGTTCGAAACAGGGCTTTAGAACAAGATGCGAAGGACAAAATTATATTAACGGCATGTGATGAAGCACGATCAAATCTTTCAGCTTGTGGAGTAACAGTAAAGGTAAACTATTTAAATAATGCGATACATACATTGTAACAACATAATTTTATTTTATCTTTAGGACCTGAAAAGTGAAACGGTTTGGAGCATCAAAAAATATTAACAGAATAAAATTGTATTATAAACCAGCAGTTTTAATAAAAAATTGTATTTACACATTTCTTATACTGATTCCAAAGAAATAATATCCGTAATTATATTATTAGTCATTTGAATCAGTAACATTCTTGACCTTTTTTGGGCTCTCATCAGTGACTTGAGTCTCTGAAAGTTTTCGTTTCCTTTCAGCTTTCTTTTCTGCCATTGTTTTTTTCAGTCCTTTCATCTTTCTGGTTTGAATGCTATTAAGATTCTGTGCTCCAACATGTATACGACCGAAAGTCGTTCCAAGATTATCTTTAGAAATATTCTTCTTCTTTTTAACCTGTGAAAAGCAAAAATTGAATGTAGAGTAACTTATTAATGACATGAATGACTTTTCTACAACAACAGTTTTACCTTCAATTCTTTTGGTTGTTTGCAAGCTTGCTTGAAGAGATCTTGAGAAGCAAGTTTTGTACGCCTACATACTAAATCTGCCCTTGGCCCTATTTCTTCTAATTCAATCCTTGGTATTCTACAGTCAGACTTCTTTAAAAGTATCCTATAACTCCGTAACATTATCTTATTCTCAACAGCTGTGAAACTTAGAACATGTTCAAGGCCTTGCAGTCTAATCTTTTCTGCAGACTCTCTATGAAACATATCCACCAATAAATTTTTAATCCTATTCAGTTCATGATTATTTTCAAAAAGTTCTCCATTGAAAACCAACAGAGGCTTAATTCCCTCTGAAATTTTTGGAACTTTAAAATCTTTTAAAGCTTTATAATTTTCTATGCCAAACTCTGCCATATCTAATAACGTATTCTCATACATTCTTCCTAATACAAGATTGTGAGGACGTTTTTTGTTATGCAGTGCAATCATGAAGTGAGGAGCATTATATTTTGCAGCATGCTTCTCAAAAAGTGTTACATCCTCAAATGGTAATACATCATTTTTCTTTTGCATCAACACTGCATTTGGTTTCTTTAAAGTATACTAAAACAAAATATGGATATTAGCAGGCATCTAAAATGTATGTTGTTACTTCCTTCTGTTCAACCTACTAGGTCCTTCATAAAATCCACTACTATCGGAGAGGTATTTTTACCCTTGTAACACAAAGTCTGTTTAACATCTTCTATTAATTTAGGTTCTTTTTTCAAAATAGCTCTTTTACCTCTGTGCGTAGTAGGCTTCCTGCAATAAGTCATTTATATTATACATTCATTTTCAGGAGACAGGTTGAACATAACCAAAGTATATTATTTGATGCATAAGTTGATACTTACACCACTCTGGTTATTGCAGGCATTGTGATGAGTTTTTCCAATTTGCACTTCTTTAGAATAATAAAAATATTATAATTTATAGATATTTATTGTTTGAAACATGTCATACATCTATTGCACGTGTTTCTGTAAACTGAAAACAACAAACTAGGTGGAGCTCGCAGCGCATTTCTGCGGCGCGGGAAATCTTTGCATTTAAAAATGAGATTTGAGAATTTAAGGATTGAGGTATTCTGAAATTTTAAATTTAGGTTATCAAACATTCTGTGCTTTAAATTTATATATTTTGGTTATAAAATATTACATTCTGTACATATGGGAGTTTTGATCATTTTGTCGGCTCCTGACAAGGACTGTCAGTGTCTCTCAGTCTGGAGAGGGCCTTCACGGCCATATAGCGAGACTCTGTTGTAGATCTCTACTTTCCACTGCAAACCAGATAAAATACGTCTATCATGTAAACTTTTCTTACTGTTTTGTGTGATATTTTTAATTAGAATAGTGAAGTGCAGGTGTAAATAATAAAATAAAAATTGAAATAATCAAAATAGACTTGAGAATTGATTTCATCAGTGTGGGACATTGTAGACACGTAACATGCAATGTTAAATACTTTTATTACACATATGCTGTAATTCCTAATATATGTATATGTATAATGTATTTATAATAATAATCAGATAATATCATCTTACGTCTCTATACAAAAATAATTACAATAATAATCGTTATTGGCATAGGCAAAATCGTTATTTATTGAAATTTATTGAGCACAATTATTTTTGTTTCTTATTTTACACAAGTAAACCTATATTAAAAGTCATTTAAAATTATAAGATCTTAATTATCTCTTACACATACACACATTTATAAGATGCGTATGCTTGTATCGTGTATATTTATATTTAAATTCATTCTGTAATACCTACAACGCATACTAACAATATATCAAAGTCTTTTGTTACACTGGTAATATAAGTTTTTGACAAAATACTGAATATTTCTCCATCTTTCCCTATTTTTTTTTCCTCTCTCTCCTCGCTTATATCTTGTTTCATCTTTTTTTTCTAAATCGTATTTCCATCGTTTCTTCTACGTCGCATTCATTTTCACACTGGTATATAATTCAATCTTGTATTTCTATTTCGTATGTGCGAACAATTTGATAGCCTTAAAGAACATTCGAAAGTGTAAATTTTCGTTCGTGTACTTACTCGAAAAACCCTGATTAGTTCGTGATCATTAAGAAAAATTTCGCCGGCAAACAGTTCGTTCGCGAACCGTTCGACTTTCGAACATTCGGTATTTCACATTAATTACACGCTATCTCGGGAAACGATCACGCGGAGATAGAGATTAAACATCGTATGTAACCGTAAAATGTCCGTGAACGCTTGTCGTTTCGTACAACATTGGCTAGAACTTTCGATTTATAAAAAGTGGTATAAAATTCATATCGTGAATCGAGCTTATCGAGAAAATTCAGAATCGATCGAATGGAAGAAACTTCGTAACTGGATGCCAGGGACATAGGTAGACGTAGGTGTCGTTTATTAAAGTAACAGTAATGGTATGTTAGAACTACAGTATCGATAGTCGTTTGCAAGAAACGCGAGCTTAAAAATATTCGAATTCGGTTTATCCGTACAAACGACCATTCGTTAACTCGAATCGTTTTCAACGAAGTGTTGCACGACTCGATGGCGAGCTTCCTCAAACAAAATACAGCAACCAATCTTCAGATTTCTGGAAATTTTCAAATTTTTAAATTTAGAAATTCGGAATTTTTCAAATGTACAAACTTTGGAATTCTCAAATTTAGAAATTTGTAAATTTTCAATCACGCAAATTCTCAAATTTAGAAAGTTGCAAGTTACTACGTAAACTTTCAAGTTGCTACGTAAACATTCAAGTTAATACGTAAACTTTCAAGTTTTTAAATTTGACAAGTTAGAAATTAATCAACTTTAGAAATCTACAAGTTTGGAGCTCTTTTTACATTATTCTTCAAAGCTGATTCTGTTTCTCAATATTCGATGAAAGGAAACTTAAATCTAATGTACAATGGAATGTGTATAATAGACAAAACTCTGTGACCAAACTGCGGCTTACTAGAATTAAAAGAAAGCAAAATTACAAGCTGGAATAAGATCCGTACGAGCATGCTATATTCTGCAACAATCCCCAATTACTTCGATGCACAGTGCAATGGCACTGCAATGGTATGGCACGTATTACGTAATATAAACTTTGCACACTTCTTCCTTTTTCCATTTTCCTATTCTCAGTCTTCCGTTTCCGCACGAAACACGACGAAGCGTTCGTGAATTCTATTCTCGTCACGATTCGTCGTTCTTCTTCTTCAAACGTGCAATCCTCTAGCAGGCAACCTGTCTATAACGTAGGGTGATCATATCTTTAACTACCACTTTTCCCCTATAATACATATGGAAAATAAAGAGTTAATAAGCATCTTATAAGCCAAATCATTATTTAGACTAATATTAGTGAAATTAGTAATTAATATAAACATAGTAGTAAAACTAGTGTAAAGTAGTAAGTATATAAAATATTGTTCAATGCGTTAATGTAAACTTTGTTATTAAAAAACTGATACTTTGGTTGCAATAGAGCTTCTACGTATAAAACTCTAACACAGGGATCATCAAAGAGTGGCTCTTGATTCACTTGTGGACTGTGAAGTTTAGGACTCTGCAAGTTTGGGAGATCTGATAATTTGGGACTTTGCAACGCTGGGACCAAGTCACTTTAGCAATTTATCAGTTTAGGATTTTATAACTTTGGAATCTTTCAAAATTGGAAATCTGATAATTAGGGACTTCATAATTTCAGGACCAACTTCAGAAATTTAGAGGCTAGATTCTGCAACTTTGGGATCTGGGACAATTAGAAATCTGAGTGTTTGGACTTACAAAAGTAAGAAATTACAATGGATCAAAATTACCACCTCCAAAAGTGAATCTCGACCCAAAAAGATTTGAAAATCCCTGTTCTAACAATTCTAAAGAAAAGAGAACTAAAAGGATCAAATCCTTTCCCTCCTTTCCACACGATCACCTTACCAACATTCTAACTTAAACGCTCTAGGCTAAATAAAGATTACATAAGTAGCGGGTAACTATTCCGTTCAAGAAAAAAAAAGAATCATTTCCTCCCTCAGGACGGTTAAAGCTTTCGAACTGAGCAACGACCGTACATACATACAGAATGAGTTTAAGATAACCAACAGACTCGTATATATTACATATCTCGAAAATCGTCAAATTTGTGTCATTTTTTTCCCTTCTCATTTAAATTCTATCCACGATTAAATAACATTGTTATAATAACACCGCATTTATCTAAATCTGTACATAGAAATTTCCCGCCATTTCTGTCCAACAATAAATAATTAAGCTGCTGAAAAAACACGTTGTAATGTGTCGAGTTTCGATGCACGCTTAATAATATGTGTATACAATACCGCCGTAATTCTATCGTACCTCTACAATTACACTTCGTCAAACATAATACTGAACGAAAACAATTAAAGATTCGCCGTCATTGATTGTACTTCAGGGCATCGTCGAACAACCGCGTTATAGCTTTACCGAGCGGAAGTGAAGCTCGGTGTAATTTTTGTGGAAAGAAATTTATTGTTAATTCAATTAAAAACAAGGTAGGGACACGTTATAATACATTTTTTATTAACTAGAGCCATTTGCGTTGGTGTAACTAGGCTGGGATGGAGTGTAGAAAAGTTAGAAATTTTCAAAGACACAAATTCCTAACTTTCCACATTTCTAAATTTCCAAATCCCAAGTAACAATATTTTCGAATCATTAAATTTCCAAATCCCTGAGTCCCTAAATGCCCAGCTTCCTAAATCTCCCAAATTCAAAAGATGCAATTTTTCAAACCTGCATTCATAAATTTCCAAATACAGCAAACTCCAAATTTCCATTAATAAATCTAGTAAATAAGCAAAATAATCTAGTTACACCAGCGCTCATCTCCGCAGTGGCAAACTGAACACCACAACGATGTTATCTTGCCACGAGACGCGGCCGAACTAAAGCGGGCCGGCAGCGTGCGTCACATATATAGTCTAATAAGGCCCGCGCATGCGCACTCGAATCTTCACTTCTGCTCCGCGCACCTATACACTTACGAACTAAAACGTGCAACGGAATCGTAATTATCGATCGTGTCGATGAATCGCGGCACTTAATTTTGCAATCTCTCGAGATCTTGTTTCATTTTTATTTTTCGTTACGGACGGCTGAAAGGGGTCCGTTAATTTGACGCTGTTCGATATCCAGGACCATGCCGATCGCTGCGCTATCGGTCGTTTTACCCGCGAAACAGAACAATTTTTCCTACACGAACAATCGATGTCGCGACACCTCGCGGTTCGAGAGATCGAACTCTATCACAAATCATTCGGAAAGCATATTTATAATATATACTCGTACTATATTTCGCGCGAACATTTCTTTTCATTTTTTTTATTTTTTGTTAAATTACTTTCATCGTTCTCCGTTTAATTTTCGTAACATTCGTAAAGAGAAAGTTTAATCGGTAACGTTGTCCCGCACAACGAAGCGTTCTCTTTTTCCTCCTCTTCCTTATTATAAAGAGTTTAACTTTTTTAGCAACGGATGAGTCGAGAAACATGTAAGAGCGAAATCTGACATCGATTGAAGAGCTTTTTAAAATCATGTCGTTGGCGTGTTCGAAACTGGCGGCGTGTCGGTGCGCCATATTGAATTACCCGATTGACTGATCGTGGTGATCTGTGAACATACAAATTTTATATTTAGTAGGATATATTATTAGACACATATTTAGTAACATTTAATGAAATCAATTTTACTACCTTCTTAAGTTATCGACAATAATAAATATTACATGAAAATATTTATTTCTCTCAACACAATTGTCATAACCTTTAAGGGGGGCCTTTAGACAGATGGAAATAAGCTGATATTTCTGAATTTTTTTTTATAGGACACCTCATCAGGTATAATTTATTATAACTATTGCCTATTACAGTATTTAAGATTCTAAAGGTATTGCCACCCTTAAGCACCACAGTAGCCTCAAACTTAAGTCTGGCAAAATGCTTCCATTCTCTTCATTAAAAACTAAATATAAATTATTCAATAAACTTGTTGTTCACTGTGTTATGAAATATTTAAAAGTAAAGACTAAGGCATCATAGGCTAAGTCAACTTGAACCACGAATTTAAGATCTCACAATGATAATAGCACTATCACACAAGGTTATCACACAGAAGTCTATAATACTAAATAGATAATATCAAAGAAAATAAATAAGTTGTAGATAAATCTATAAATAAGTAGATAATCACTATAATTGAAAATAGAAAGTGAGAGCAAAGTTGCAGATCGTCTCGTGAACAGTTATAGATCTATCGTCACCTTATTGTCGTGTCCGATTAATGGAGTTTCTGCCGTGGTTTCGTCGCCGCTGCGATTCATGTACGGATGTGGGGGCGGCACATAAATCGGCTTAGAATGACTGGCGACTTGCGCGTAAATCGTTGGTTCCTGGATTGGTTGCCTACGCGTCAGAGTCGACATGGCCAGCAGTTGAGGCCGCTGGATATTGGATACCTGTACCGGCTGATAACAATTAGGAGGTATTCGTCGGTTGCCCCGAAGCGACAGCTCGGCGTACGTTAGCTCTGATCCCTGTAAAATTATGCAAATCGATTTAATAACCATTTTCCCTTTGAAACCGTGCAAAAGTATCTCGTGAAACTTTCAGACTCCGTAGACAGATTCGTCGATTCGATTCGGATTCGAATTTGAAGAGAGATTTGATATAAAACGTGACGGATTTCAAATCGAACGTTTTTAAACGAATGGGAATCGAACGTTAAACGAACGAGAAGTCGAACGCTCTAAGCAAATAGGATTTGAAATTTTATGTTTTTAGATGGATTTGAGATAGAATGTTTTTTGGAACGTCGGAAATTTTGTTGACTGATTCTTTTTGAGTATTTTGATTAACACGGGTACTCACGTTGTTGGTGGTGGTGAAGGTACTGGCGTCCGTTCGTGGCTGGTGCAGCACGTAGCGGGGTGAAGTGCCCTTGCACAGCTCGGCGTAAGAATTTTCTGTGAAAACACATTTCCGAATATAACAGACGACTCAGGAATTTTTTACGTGGGCTTATCTTGGTAAAAGTTGTTCCTGACAAATTTACGTGGCCTTATGTTCAGTCAGTGTAAGTAGATATGTATAATATGTATATCATATGTATATTATAATATACACATCATGCATCACTTATACATATATAAGTAGAAAGAAAAAGAAAGCTGCTAAAAAATTGATTGATCACATTGGGTTCTGAACAGTAAGACTCAGCAACCCATCCCTCTAAAATTTTCTAAGCTCAAAAAACTAAATATTATCTCTTCAACATGTACTAAAACTATCAAGTATGAATCATCTTACTCAAAAATAATATTTAAAAATGCTCCAAAATCAGAATCCATCCACTATGAATCTCCTATCGTATCGTTATTTAAAACGTAGTTGAACGATCATAGTGTGAACCAGCAGTGAATTACACTCGCAGAGCGTTGAACTCCGGCCACGTTGGTGGTCCAGGTAACATACCAGATGCTCATTAAATTACCCACCATTAGCGTGAGGAATTATATCAGGGTCCTTCTCGAAGCTCTCGATGCTGTCGGAGTTGAGAGGCAGGGTCGACGATTTATCACGTGGAGAGGAACTGCCGGTTCCGGACGCAGCCAGGTTTGCCATGCCACCGTCGTCATGAGAGTCCTTGTCCTCCTGAGGCCTCGGTCGATACCGTAATCTCACCGCCAGGACTATCATGAAGATCACCAGTAGAAGACCCGCTGTCGCGCCGACCACCGCGCCCAACAATGGCCCGGACAGCGACAGCATCACCGGTGTGAGGGCTGAAAATCGTCGTTAGGTACTTTCAGTACTCTCTTTTCGTTAGGGAACAACGGGAGTCGTTAAGAGGATTTAGTCACGGACGGGACTTTTATGCGGGGGAGATCTTTGAGTCGGGAAATACCTAATCTTCTTAATGCTGGCGGTTTTGAGGATGTTAACGCGTTGACTGACGTGGTTTCGGATGGACATTTCGTTAATTGGACGAGCAGAGGTCAAGTTTTGTTAATTAGCTGAACAGAGGTCAAGTTTTGTGATATCTTTCGAACAGTGTTCGTTGCTTAGAATTATTTTCCGATGTCGTAAAATTCAGAAGTTCAGATGGTGTTGGATGTTGCAGAATGGTGTTTTGGGAGTGAGTTGTATGCAGGGTGTCTCACAACTGGTGTAACTCTTGATATTGGGTGATGGGGTTCGAGATTCTGAACAACTTTTCCCTTTGAAAAAATTCGCTCTGAAGCTTCGTTTTGGAATTATTAAGGAAAAACATAGGGCCAATCAGAGCGCGGGACGCGTGCGCAGACGCGAGAGCGCAGGTCCGAGCCTAGCGACAGCGCATGCGCAGTCCTCGCGCTCTGATTGGTCCATGTTTTTTCTTAATAATTCAGAAACGAAGCTTCAGATCAAATTTTTGCAAAGGGAAAAGTTGTTCAGAATCTCGAACCCCACCATCTAATTCTGAGAGTTACATTAGTTACCTTAATAATTTAAAAGTTCCTCTTCCAAAGTTTCCAAGTCCCAAAATATCAAATACCTAAACTTCCAAACTCTCAAAATTCTAACCTCATCTCTTCCCAAAACCTCCAAAACTCCCCAAGTCCCAAAATACCAAAATCTCAAACTTCCAAAGTGCCAAACTCTAAACTTCCAAAAACCCAAACTTCCAAACTTTCCAAATTCTAACCTCATCTCTTCCCAAAACCCTTCAAAACTCCTCAAGTCCCAAAATACCAAAATCTCAAACTTCCAAAGTGCCAAACCCTAAACTTCCAAAAACCCAAACTTCCAAACTCTCCAAATTCTAACCTCATCTCTTCCCAAAACCCTCCCAAAGTCCCCAAGTCCTAACTCCCAAAATTAATAACCCCCACCCTTCAAAGCACCCGAACAAATTTTCTAACGTATCCCAACACACAGAATCGATATGCACGACTTCAGTCAACGTGTCAAGGAATGAACCGTAAGCAGCACAAATTAGCCAAGTGGAACAAGGATGCTCCCTGATTAGGCAGCAGAGCTGATCCTAGCACGCGATTAGTGGAATAGGACGGTCGTTGGTTGAACAAGCACATTAGAGACCGTTACTTGATCTTATAAGTGGCTGTTAATGGCTAGACAAGTAGTACAGAAACACTTCGGATCAAACGTGTAACCGGTAGTGGTAGCAGCCAATTCCCTCGTAAGACAGGTGGTATAAGCTGATAGTGTTTTGATTCGTGAAACAGGATCATTATTGCTGGCACAAGAAGCTTGGGAAGTTTTGATGATCAGACAAGCGGTGTAAGAATGTCTACGGAGGAAGCGGTATAACAGCCTGATTTTAGCGGGCAAGTAGTAGAAGTTCGTTTAAGGTCAGACGCTCGTGTTTCTGGGTTATGTAGGTAGATGGGTAATGTAGAGCTGAACTTCGCATGTACTTTGTATTACTTATTACTCTACATTTATAGATTTTTATATTCCCTAGATCTCAACTACTAGATTACTATATTCTCTAGTTCTCCATTACCCTAGATTTCTATAATTCATAGATTTCTATTGTCTTGTGGTCCCAAGACAAGGTTCCTATTATCTCTAGAGCTATAATTGCAAAATTTCTGTAATCTCTAGGTCCTTATAATTCCTAGGGACCCTACTACTTCAAGATCCCTATGATTCCTAGGGACCCTATTACCCCAAGATCCTTATAATCCTTAGGGACCCTATTACTCCAAGATCCTTATAATCCCTGGTTCTCAATAATTCCTAGATCTCTGTAATCCCTAGATGCCTGTAATCCCTACATCCCTATAATCCCTAGATCCCTAGAATCCCCAGAATTCCTAGATCCCTAGATCCCTAGAATCCTCAGATCCCTAGAATCCCTAGAATCCCCAGATCCCCATATCCCCATATCCCCAGATCCCCAGAATCCCTAGATCCCTAGAATCCCTAGATCCCTAGAATCCCTAGATCCCTGTAATCCCCAGATCCCTGTAATCCCTAGATCCCCAGAATCCCTAGATCCCTAGATCCCTAGAATCCCTAGATCCCTGGAATCTCTAGAATCCCCAGATCCCCAGATCCCCAGATTCCCTAGAATCCCTAGAATCCCTAGAATCCCTAGAATCCCTAGAATCCCTAGAATCCCTCGAATCCCTCGAATCCCTAGAATCCCTCGAATCCCTAAAATCCCTAGAATCCCTAGAATCCCCAGATCCCCAGATTCCCTACATCCCTAGAATCCCTAGAATCCCTAGAATCCCTAGAATCCCTAGAATCCCTAGAATCCCTAGAATCCCTCGAATCCCTCGAATCCCTCGAATCCCTGGAATCCCCAGATTCCCAGATTCCCAGAATCCTTAGATCGCTATAATCCCTATAATCCCTAGATCCCTAGAATTCCTAGATCCCTAGAATCCCTAGATCCCTAGAGTCAATGCAATATAGATTGCACCTCCAAATCCCAAGAACACATCCTCAGTTCTTTACAAGACCATTCTAAATAAAACCATTCCATAATTCATCAGACGTAAGAAGTTGAAACAACATCGATGGCAATTCATTTAGCAACGCGATTTCGATCGGCATGATTTACGCGGTCGCATTGTAGGTAATAATGGATTAATATCTCGATAATAAACGAGCACGGGTCTGATTAACTACGGTCCAATGCATTTCGTATTTGGCCATCGACAATTATGTAAATGAAATATCATCGAGGGGGAGGGGGTTGATCGCCGTTTCCGGCCGCGACAACGTTATGGATGATGGTCGTTCCACGGAAAATAAGGAAAGCCGTGCAGCTGCGGGCGAAGTTTAACGTTATCGTTATCGCACGTTATTGTATAAATATTTCACCAGGGACATTTAATGGCCCGTCGAGGATATATCGAGTGATTACTGCCCGGGACATATATTTTTCAATTCTGCACGTGACTCCGACGTTTACCTATAGTTTGTCCCTCGTAAAATCTATCAAGCACCCGGCAAAACTCTACGGCACTTTAAATTTCAATCGAACCGATTTTCCTTTTGTTCTATTGTATTGTCCGGCTGGATGTTTATTGCGGTTGCTTTCATATTTTTTACAAGGCTCATTTTTCTGGCGATTCGGAGGTTTCGAAATTTGATAGATCTATTGCGTGCAGATTAATACAAATTTTCTGATATGTTACACGAATATAATGTTTGAATTTTTCGTTAAAAGTAATAGCGCGTTAACCCCTTGCACTATGATTTTTAAGTTGCGTCAGAACTAACTAATTACAGTTACAATATCCAGACAAAGGAGGTCGAAATGTGATTTCAATTTGGTACCAATACAGGGTGTCTCACAATTAGTGTAACTCTTGATATTGGGAGGTGGGGTTCGAGATTCTGAACAACTTTTCCCTTTGCAAAAATTCGCTATGAAGCTTCGTTTTGGAATTATTAAGGAAAAACACAGGACCAATCAGAGCGCGCGAGAGCGCAGCTTCGAGCTTAGCGCTGCGCGCGCATAATCCGCAGAGCGCGGGACGCGTGCGCAGATGCGAGAGCGCAGGTTCGAGCCTAGCGACAGCGCATGCGCAATCCTCGCGCTCTGATTGATCCGTGTTTTTCCTTAATAATTCAAAAACGAAGCTTCAGATAGAATTTTTGCAAAGAGAAAAGTTATTCAGAATCTCGAACTCTATCTGTTCAGAAAGTTACACTAGTTGTGAGACACCCTGTATGTTCAAATATTTTCAAACTTGTAAATTTACGTATCGTTACCCTCTATTATGTCAATCAATAATTGACTATGCAAATTATAATCAAACTCCAAATTGAAGAGTACTAAAAATTCTAGTAAAATTGTTCATAGTCGAAATACAAATGCGTCAAACTAAAAATAGCGCAAGTGGTTAAACTTTATGTTATTGCATTTTTTAAATAATCGTCGGTTTTGATAAACGTTTCATAGAACGTTGACATTAATGTTGCATGATTTTATTAACGCAGTCGGTTTAATAAATAATTGTTATCGATGCCGGTGAAACGAAGCTGTGCGTCATCTATGCATATTCCACACTACGTTCGAATGAATTTATAGCACAACTCGATGTCATTCGCATGCAACGTCTACAGTGGGTCAGGTGAAACACATATCTACGATCAGAAGCGGAAGCACGGCTTTGCAAGCAGAAAATACCTGGTCACGTGTTACTCTTGACAGTTTTACTATCTCGACGAGTCACCGTGTGCTATATTTCCTTTCATTCTTTGCTTCAGATTAATCTTACCACTCTATTGCTTGCAGAGGGAAAAAAGTTTGTTCTATATTTCAGGATCAATATTTTTCTACGGCTTAGTGCCTTTTCATACGGGTCATAATTTATAAACGTACAATTGCATCGTGTTCGTAAATATGTCTGACTATGTCTGTCTCTTTCTACTGCGCCAAAATAAACTCGTTAATTATGGAATAAATTTCGAAAATTGAATTGCAGTCTAGAAACAACATATCCACAATTGAACAGACGTCTATAAAACGCAATATAAAATTGAATCGAAGTCTCTAAACATAGAATAAAATCTGTAAAACAAGGTATCTATAAAAACGAGAAAGGTCACAAATATGGAGAGCATAAAAGACGGTAGAAATGTGTAGGATTTAGGCGATAAAAATGTCGATGACAGAATATTTGTCGGAAGTAAACGTTTAACAGGAGTATCAAATTGAAGCTGTCGAGTCACCGTACACACGTAACCGAACGATCCACAAACAGCTTCAGTAAAGAACCCTCTAGTTAGCTCAAACAGAACACCATCAACACACAAA